TGGACTGACTCATAGTGACCCCTCCTTGGGTTTCCACCCAGATATCTCTACAGAAGTAGATTGCCCAACCTTCCTTCTGAGGAGTGGCTAGCAACAAGAAATTCCGTAGAAGTAAATAGCAAAATACATTAATCACCACTATTTATATATGTTGTAAGACTTAAAATATGATACAGTATGAATGCTGTTAAATAATCTGTAAACTCATTTATAGTGCAGGATTTCAGTTAAAATATAACATGAATATGTACTTTTCTATTTTGGAAAGCATATTTGAACAAGTTCATGTGTAGACTTTCAGTTATCTGACTCTGAAACTTTAACTGTCCATTGGTTATTGATCAAGCAAAGATGTCAGTTTGTGTAGTGAATGGAAAACAAGATGAGCACAGTTATGTATTGATGAGCAGATATCTAGGAAAGCAATCACATTTCCTAATCAAAGCATACATTGGTCTTTTGGAAATGCTCTTTAGTCTAGGAGCTCTGGTGGCATAGGGCCTAAGGCATTTGACTGCTAACCAGAAGGTTGGCTGTTCAAACCCACCAGTCATTCCTCGGAAGGAAGACTGGGAAATCTACTTCTGTAGTGATACCAAGGAAGGACTATGATGAGTCTGATCCAACTTGCCGGCAGTTGAGTTTGGTTTTTTATAGTACAGCATGTTATTAGCCTTTAGGCCACTGGAGGGTGCAGTTGTTTCAGATTAACACCATTCAGACTACTGTAGCAATTCCCTCTCCAGAATACAAATGCCAGCATCCTTCACAGTGTGATTGCCCAGATCCCCAAAGTCACTTGTTTGCAAGGACAGTATCTATGAAACAGACAATGAATCTGAATGAATGAAGCATCGAATGAAGCAAAACACTGAAGGGAGAGAAGTGTTTTACAAAAGTTCTGAAATACAAATTTAGTACATTGGTGTATAAAATCTAAAAAGTGAATAAAAGAGGCTAACATTAATTCTCTGTTAATGCATATCCTGATGTTTCTCACCCTTATGAAGTCAAACTGGCTACAGCATGCACTGCAGAAAAGTGAAACTTTCAAAAAGGTCAAATATTTGTAAATAAAAATGAGAATAACTTTGGATATAACTAGAGAAAGATCAGCTTTACATTTCTTTGCTATTAAAAAATCCCAAACCACTGCCATCAAGTCGATTCTTACTCGTAAAAACCCCCATTAGGTTTCCAAGGTGGTAAATCTTTACAGAAGTAGATTGCCCCATTTTCCTTCCACAAAGCAGCAAGCTGGTGGGCTTGAACCTGTCAACCATCTGGTTAGCAGTCAAATGCCTTAGGCACTGTACCACCAGAGCTGCTTTCTTTTCTTTTTCTTGCTATATGAAATAGTCTTAAATTTTTAAATAAAAGATAATGAACTAAAACAAATAACAGTTTCCACTGAGTTTATTTCAACTCATGGCAATCCCATGTGTTGTAGATTAAACTGCTCTTCATAGGGTTTTCAGGGCTGTGACCTCTCAGAAGCAGATTGCCATGCCTTTCTCCCAAAGTGTTTCTGGGTTCAAACTGCTAACCATTAGTAGTCATGCACTTACCCATTTGCACCACTCAAGGACTCTTATCATTGCACTAGAATTCACTTGGAAAACAAAAAACAAAAAACTCACTGCCATTGAGTTGGATCTGACTCATAGCGACCCCTCCTTGGATTTCTGAGGTGGTATCACTACGGAAGTAGATTGCCCCATCTTTCTTCTGAGGAGTGGCTGGTGGGTTTGAACTGCCAGCCTTCTGGTTAGCAGTCAAATGCCTTAGGCACTACACCAATTCACTTGCTGAAGGATTAAAATTGGTATGTACTTTAATCCAAATGCTTTGAATAAAGCTATATATGAGGATAACTCAAATATTATTTTACGTGTCAAATCACACTATTCTAGAAAAACACTTCCCCAAATATGGATTTGAGATTAATTTGAGATTAATTCCAACTAATAAGACATAAGGGAGCTCTGGTAGCATAGTGGCTAAGACACTTGCCTGCTAACCAGACGGCTGGCAGTTCAAACCCACCAGCCACTCCTCGGAAGGAAGGTTGGGCAATCTTACTTCCGTAGTGATACTGCCTCAGAAACCCAAGGAGGGGTCGCTATGAGTCGGGCCGACTCGACGGCACATAACAACAACAAACAACAACAATAAGACATAAATTTGGGAGTAGATTTAAAAAGTAGTTCACTATTCCTTCCTGACTACAGTTCACATTATAAACATGACATTTTATTAAAGACCTAAAATTCAAAAGTACAAAAAGTTTTTCAAATGATGCAAAACACAAAATGAAATTAGTGTTGTGATTTATGCATATTGCTAAAATGGAGTTTTAATTATATTTTTGTTTTTTCTCTCTAAAAACTATATGACCACCCTATGCTGTAGGATCGATGCCTACTCATGGTGATCTCCTGTGTCAGAGGAGAACTGTGTTTTGTAGGATTTTTACTGGTTGATTTTTCAGAAGTAAGTTCCCAGGCCTTTCTTCCTGGATGCCTCTGGATGGACTCAAAATTACCAACCTTTCAGTTAGCAGCTGAACATGTTAAGTATTCGCACCACCAAGGGACACCAAAAACTATAGAACCTTATAATGCTCGGATACATAATCAAAACAGTGGCACAGAAACAAAGAATTCAGGGAGACATATTCTGTTCTCATCCCTACCACTTATTTATACCCAAACAGGGAATCATTTTAGCTAGGAAAGGAAAAGAAACTGACTGGGCTTACTCTGAAATCAGTCAGTCTGAAATCTAGATAACATAATAATGCTATACAATTAAGTCTAATTTCTTAAATATGAGAAAAATGAAGTTTGTTAGTTAAAAACAAAAAAAATCCTGGACAAAGCAAACTAGCCCTCCCTAGATTTGGGGAGAATTCATCTCACCATTAATTATCACCTAATGCGAGTAGTTATGGTATTTAGGTAATGAACACTGTGTTTCAGTAAGAAGATGGGGACTGGAGAATTGCTGAGACATTAGGCATATCCTTTAACTTCATGGACCATCAGTTACGTCACCTTGAAAGGGTAATAATAATATTGGTACAGTGAAACTTGTGAGAGCTGGAATTTGAAGGGGTTGTCTTATTTTTCTGGGTCTCAAAAGTTTTCTGCCTTTGACAGGGTACAGTCTTACCACTTTTCTATTCCTTTCTATATGTGGAAAGTGTTTGCATTTTTCTCTATGACAGTTTCCACCTTTTGCAAGTTTTACAGTAACACCACCTTGCAATGACAGTAGTATCCTGTAGAGTCTCTATGAAAAAAGAGAAAATGTTTTTTCTAAATAAACAAAAACACTTATATTGGTTTAATAAAGATGTAACTAGGCAATTATGCTCATTTGTACTGTTGTGTGCCATCGAATTTTAAGGACAACGTTTCCCTGGGGTTTAAAGCCTTTAGAACACCTAAGTAGTTTCTAGTCCTAACTGTATGAGAATAAGCCAAGGAGGAGGACAGTTGGAGGCTTTGTAAGTGAATACTTCCCTCTCCCTTCAGTTCCCATGGGCTGGCAGCAGTTGATTTCACTACCTCAGATTTGTAGTTAGTTGCTTGAAGGAGTGTTGGTAGTGTAGTAGTTAAAGCATTTGGCTGCTAACCAAAAGGTTAGTGGTTCGAACCCACTAGTGACTTCGAGGGAGGCAGATGAGGCAATCTGCTTCCATAAAGATTTATAGCTTTGGAAACCCAATGGGGGCAGTTCTACTCTGCTCTAAAAGGGTGGTAATGAGTTGGAACCAACTCCAACGCAACCACAGTGGGCTTGGGCTTGCCACCTGCCTGGAGTCAGTTTTGTCTTAGCTGATTTCTTTTTTGGGGGTTGGGGGTAGAGGGCAGCTTAGGTGGGGGTAGTTGCTAGAATTTCTTTATCTTTGGATTTGACCATCCTGGTTTTATTGTTTTGTATTATGCACTTCACCTTTCTTTCTTCTTTTTTTAACATGAGGCATTTTCTTAGAGGTATAGAAACTGTATCGAAACCAATGTTTTATAGTTCCAGTGCATCTTCGGAGACAGGGCAGTTTACTGGTGGTCCTTCTAGAGGTTCTCCTGGAATAGAAGGGAAGAAAAGTTCACGAAGACTGTTCAAGGGCAGGCTATTTTATTTACATTTCTCAGAGTGAAACATTTGGCTGCTAACCAAAAGGTAAGCAGTTCAATTCCACCAGCTGCTCCCTGGGAGGAAGATGTGGCAATCTTCGTCCACAAAGATTTAGAGCGTTGGAAATCCAGTGGGGGTGGCTATGATTCGGAATTGACTTGTTGGCAGTGGGTTTTTAGGGTAACAAAGACTTAAAGAGGACCAATCCCTGCACAACCATCTGTAGATGGAGGAGGAGGGCGGGCGCTCTAGTCCTCTTTAGCAGTTTGCCTGGTGTAGGGAAGTATAGTGCGACTTCTCAACTGCCTGCCACCCACTGACGCTCCTCTGCGGGTGAATAGGAGCGAAGGTCGGGAGCCGAGGGGCTGCAGAGCACAGCAGGGCGGCAAGCTTCCCATGGGTCAGGAACACCGGCGACTGGAGAGGAGTCCTACACGGGGCTTCCCCAGCTAAGGTGGCCAGGGGAGCGGGCACGCTGCAGCCAAGTGGGACATTCCGTAGCTTCTCCACCCTCCTCCCACCGCACTCCCCACAGCCATGGGCGCCCCGCCCCCCTCGGCCTTATAGAGGGCCGGGGCACCTCAGCACGGTTCCGAGCGACCGGCTTTCCAGAGCGGACGTTGGCCGCCTGCGCTGCCGGACAGCCCTGGCGCCGCCGCAGCCGAAGCCAAAGTAGCGGAGCGCAGCGGTGGCAACGCCCCGCACCATGGAGGGCAGGCCAGCCCCAGCCCCTGCCCCAGCCCGAGTTGTCGCCGGCCTCTGCCGCCGCCCGCTCAGCATCTGCCAGCTCCCGCTACAGCTCTCCCAGAGTCCTGTTCTCACTTCGAAGCCCACCTGAAGGAGACCCGGAGCTGCACCCGTCTCAACTCTTCCTATCCAAGCATGTGGGCGCCAAGCAACCTCACGAATTCCCCGGGACCCCGCGGGGAGTGCGGCTCTGTGTCCGTGGCCTTCCCGATCACCATGTTGATCACCGGCTTCGTGGGCAACGCGCTGGCCATGCTGCTGGTGTCGCGGAGCTACCGGCGCCGCGAGAGCAAGCGCAAGAAGTCTTTCCTGCTGTGCATCGGCTGGCTGGCTCTCACTGACCTGGTCGGGCAGGTGCTCACCACCCCGGTGGTGATCGTCGTGTACCTGTCCAAGCAGCGCTGGGAACAGCTCGATCCGTCGGGGCAGCTATGCACCTTCTTCGGTCTGACCATGACTGTCTTCGGGCTATCTTCGCTCTTCATCGCCAGCGCCATGGCCGTCGAGCGGGCGCTGGCCATCCGGGCGCCGCACTGGTACGCCAGCCACATGAAAACACGCGCCACGCGCGCGGTGCTTTTTGGCGTGTGGCTGGCCGTGCTCACCTTCGCCCTGCTGCCTGTGCTGGGCGTGGGCCAGTACACAGTCCAGTGGCCCGGGACATGGTGCTTCATCAGCACCGGGGGAGGGGGCAACGGCACTAGCTCCGGGGACAACAGGGGCAACCTTTTCTTTGCCTCCACCTTTGCCTTCCTGGGGCTCTCAGCGCTGGCCATCACCTTCGCCTGCAACCTGGCCACCATTAAGGCTCTGGTGTCTCGCTGCCGGGCCAAGGCCACAGCGTCACAGTCCAGTGCTCAGTGGGGCCGGATCACGACGGAGACGGCCATCCAGCTCATGGGGATTATGTGCGTGCTGTCGGTCTGCTGGTCGCCGCTGCTGGTAGGTAGTTCAGGGCTACTGGGAAGTTGGGGTAGGCATGCGCCCCGACAGGAAATGGAGACTTCTGGAAGTGGCGGCTCTTGCAGTGTGTTTGCAGTCTTGCAGCATTGGAGAGTTATGTTGGGACCTAACAGCCCAAGCGCTTCAAAGTTGAACTCCTCACTTACTTTCTGAGTACTTTCTTTGTGCTAGACATCCCATTAGGCGCCGGATAGGCAAATATAGAAACCACAGGGCTGTTATCCACCAGACGCTCTTATTCTAACCGGGAAGGGGAGAAAGAGACCCAAATTTTCTTTAAGGGCAAGTGCAAAGATAAGAGATTTGCCCTGTGTGCTCTGGAAACAGAATGGCGATGATAACTGAGGCTTAATGCTATGGTTTTTCTCGTTATTTCGAACCCTTCTCACTCGCCCAGGTGATTTTCCATCCATAGAAGTAGAAGTACCGTACCTGTGACCCCAGACCGTCATAGCCCTTACACAGCTTCTGAGCCATTGCCCTCTCCCCCTGGGTGGGCAGAGGTGACCTTCTTTCTGTGCTCTATTGGAAGCAGAAGAGAGAACGCCTTGAGCCGCTGCAGCCATCCCCAGCCTCCGGCCTCCCCTCCCTCTCCCCTCTATGAAGTGCTTGAACCTGACAGTCAGTAAGCCTCCTGTTGGTGGATAACTCTCTGTGGTCAGCGCTTGCTTGCTTTCCCTTGTTGCCATTAAGGATCTGGGCCAGGTCACAACTAATCCTGGGATAGAAGGTACAGGTTTATTCATTTCTCAGGTCCCCAGGCCAGTGCACCTCCTGTGAACAAGTGGTGTTTCACTGGTTTCTTATCCTTGCCCAGACACCTCCCTGTTATAAGGTATTTTAGAAGTTTTCCTCTGTGGTGCTTTTAAGTAAAGATTTCTGTGGTTAAGTGCCATTTACCAATTCTTGGTGAATGGGTGTTTATTTGGGTCCCAGGCAGCCTACCTTAAAAGGCAGCTGTTGCCTTGAAAATTATAATCACTTGTAGATGATTACAATTGAACCTGGAAATGTTTTAGACATCTGTGGAAACTCATGACACAGTCCTCAGAACTGACCAACTGTAGTTTTTAATCTCTTGCATTTTAAATATGTAGCTTTACCCTCTCCTCCCATTTGCCAAAACAGAATTTGAGAATACCTGTATTTAAATGGTGTGGTACATTTAGAGCATGAGCTTTGGCTCCAAGTCAGTGAAGTGTAGAGACAAGGAGAGTAGTACAGGTGGCTGTGTGGTCATAGTCCTGTGTTCCAGGAGCTAGAACTCAGGCTGATGTCATCGCATGGCTTATCAAAAATAAACTTTAGATATGTTTACTTCTGCGGTTGAAGAATGGGGTTTGTAGGGGCCAAACAGTAGGAAAACAAGTGTTCTATTTCACTGAAGGATGCTAGCTTTGTACTTCAGTGGTAGAATGCTCACTCCCAAGCAGGAGACCCTAGTTGCATTCCCAGCCAATATACCTCATGTCAAGCCACCATCACTCTGTCTGCGGAGGCTTGCATGTTGCCCTGATGCTGAGCAGGTTTCAGTGGAGTTTGAGGACAAATACAGACTAGGAAGAAGATCTGCTTTTATAAATCAGCAGGTGAAAACCCTGTGGATCACAACCATCAGATCTGCAACCAATCATGGGATGGCTCAGAACCAAGCAGCATTTCCTTCTGTTGTGCATAATGTCCCTGTGAGTGGGAGTGACTGGACGGCAGCTAACAATAGCAACTGCACAAGTGTAGTAATTAATGTAAACTTTTAAAGATAACCTGGATTTTTCACAACTGCCATTTGAGCCCCACACCTTTGAGTTTCTCTAGCACAGGATTTACACTGTAGGGGAAAAAAATACAGTTCAATCGTATGAATACAATGCATACTCACACAGCCAATCAGATTTATATATATATATATATATATATATATATAATATATTTAATAATATATAATATTATAAACAACAGAGTGTATTTTATTTAGAAATTTTAGATTTGATGCCACGAGCATGGTAGCCTTAGGAAGAATTTAGATACTGAGAATTGTAATGTAGGATGACCAAATTCACTTACACTCTTAAGAAACACTATACTTGGAACTAGTCTTATTTAATTTCAATTAATATATGCATTCAAATACTATTTATTGGTTTGCAACATTTTCTCAGCCACTTTATTGATTTGGTTTTCATAAAAAAACATTAAAGTTGAAACAAACTCAACATGTAATAATACTGGAGAAAAGAAATCTGGTTTCCAAAATTTCTTTTAAAACTGAAAGAAATGCTTTTATTTTGTTTTATGCAGCACTGAAATTAAATCTCCAAATATCTTCAAAAGGATCTATAGCACAAAATTGGAATTGTTTCAAAGGAAAGAAACTGGCAAAACCACTTTCTTAATAGTTTAGGGAATTGTGAGAATCAAAACTTAGAGAATTGAAGTTAGTTAACTTAGTGAATTGAATTTTCAATATATTAATGTTAATGGGAAAGATCATTTTAATACTTAAAAAAAAAAAAAAAAGCGTTGGGCTGCTAACCAGAAGGTCAGCGGTTCAAACTCACCAGCTGCTCCTTAGGAGAAAGATGTGGCAGTCTACTTCTGTAAAGATTTACAGCCTTGGAAATCCTATGGGGCAGTACTACTCTGTGGTAATCACTCTAAGTGATAAATCACTCGATAGCAGCGGGTTATGGGGAAAATGTCTCCTATTAGCTTTTGTTGAATTGGGCATAGGATACTAATCTAATTATTCTAACTTTTTACTTAAAAGGACCCTTGTTGTTGTTCTGTGCCGTCGAGTCGGCCCCAACTCATAGCGACCCCTCCTTGGGTTTCCGAGGCAGTATCACTATAGAAGTAGGATTGCCCAGCCTTCCTTCTGAGGAGTGGCTGGTGGGTTTGAACCGCCAGCCATCTGGTTAGCAGGCAAGTATCTTAGCCACTATGCTACCAGAGCTCCCAAAAGGACCCTTGGCATATCTTATCTTTGAAGACAATCATTACCATAATAACTTTAGCTATTGCTGCTAGAAAACTTAATTGAACAAAAATACCATAATGAGAATGTGTCCCAAATGTTAAAGTTGCCAACACATAAATAACAGAGATTTATAGTGCAAACAAAAGTTGTTTTTTATTTCTTTTTTCACAGAAACTTTCTAAAATACAATATGAGATATGACATTAAAGGAGAATATAAGGGGATACGATGTCACAATGATAGACAATGTACAGTTCTCATCCACAGTTTCTGAGAGGCACCAAATAGCCATTCTGTTGGAATCAGTTAACTGACTGGGCAATGCAGTCTATTAAAATTGTTATTGTTGCTATTTTTTTTTTTTAATGAAGCATGCTCACCAAATGTTCTAGTTATTTTGGCATGATATATAGGTTTCCAGAAACAAGATTAACTTTAGTTTGTTGCTCACAAGAAGCCATGAGTACATTTTGTACTTTTGTAAACCTAGCGCTCTCCAAATGGGGTTAGTCCTACAGCTATCTTTAAAATAGTAAATACAGACATAGCTATAAACATGAAAAATGAGGTATGGGCAGACCCAGGATATGAAAGAGATCCATTCCTAACTGTGTCTTTAAGAATTTGTAGGTAAGTCAGAACAGGTGCATATGATTCTAATTCTAATTTAGCCTTACTTTAGTGAAATGGAAGTTTAGACCTTTTCAGTGATTTAAAGGCTATATAATTCAGCAAAGTGATTGTGATGAAGAATTTATTGTGAGGAGTTGGTTCAGTGATTCTAAAGTGAGGGAAAATTTACAGTGTTTCTTATCCACATACTTGAAACAAGATGAAAGCAGCCTTAGAAATTTTTGCCTGTAATCTTGAGCCAGAAAATTCCTGGTTCAATATCCACAGAAGCAATCAGGATATTTCAATTCAAGAAAATGATGCACAATACAGTTTCTGTTTTTTTTTTTTTTTAATATCAGGAATCTCATATATTTTGACTGATAAAATTTACCCTTAATATGCCACAAGTGGTAGATACCTGTTATAGATGATTTTGTAGATGTAATGCTCTTGTAAACTCACTGCTGTCAAGTTTTTTCTGACTCACAGTGACCCTTCCTTGGGTTTCCAAGCTGGTAGCTCTATGGAAGTAGATTGCCCAGTCTTCCTTCCAAGAAGTGACTGGTGGGTTTGAACCGCCAGCCTTCTGGTTAGCAGTTAGATGCCTTAGGCACTATGCCACCAGAGCTCATATAAATATTATTAAATTGCTAATCTTCTCTGCTAATAAATCATTGCCATATTTAGAATTTTGCTTCAGTAGAAAGGATTAAAAATGTGAATCAGGACTATAGGGAAAATCTTCTATAATTTATTTTTCATAAGAATTGAGATTATTCAGAATTCTTTACATTTTGGGGTTTACCATAATATATCATTTTAAGCACTGTGAAAGGGACATCAAATAAGCTTGTTAAAAACTGGCCAAAGCATTATAATCTATTCAGGGAAGTAGAGAAGCAGAATTTTCTCATTTATGAAGAAAGAATTAGAGACAAACACAAGATAGGATAATGCGTTGGCTCTCAGAAAAAAAGAATCTATCTGAATTTGTCAGAATAGGCTTCCAGGAGGAGTCCTAGGGTGGTCCGAATTGTTACCTTTTGGCTGCTAACCAAAAGGTTGGACGTTTGAGTCCACCCAGAGCCAGCTCCAGAGAAAGACCTGGAGGTCTACTCCTGAAATACAGCCCTGGAAACCCTATGGAGCACAGTTCCACTCTGACACAGATAGGGTCACTATGAGTCAGAGTGAAATCCCCCTCCCCCCCAAAAAAAATGCAGGAGAGCTTCCAGGGAGATGTGGGATGGCAGAGCTAGACCCCACGCATAGTTGAGAGAAAGCATGTACCCAAGAAGCCTTTCTGAGACAGAGCATGCACACTAGAATGATGGGAAGAATGGTTTGAAATAGTTTGTGAGACAGACTGAGGTAGTTAGTCCCTGAA